GGGGGGGGGGGGGGAGGGGCACAGCCCAGCTCTTTAATGTGGAAGCTGGCTTCAGTGACCTTGGAATGTAGGGAAAGGACATTCCAGAACACAAGTGGAACTTTTAAACATTCCACTGCCAATTTGTAACAGAATGCGGTTCTAGAACTTCGTATCCCCTCAGACTCCTGGGAGTTTATGAAGGTGTATGTAATTTAGACTTCTGCAGTTACGTAACATTGCGATAGGCAAGTAAGTCTTCAGGACTCACTGTTCAAAGAGTGCAGTGCCGTTATGGAAAAAACACCCGGCACCTCCACGGATAAGCCGCAGTGCATGAACACGATAAATGCAAGCGGATAGAGACATATATTTATAAGCGTCATAATCTAGTGGCTGCAGTGGAGATTCATGTCGACAGACCGCAGCCTGGTGTGGCCGGGGAAAGAGACCGATCACGTGATTAGCGGCATGCGGCAGAAGGGGGCGAGTAAGCGGGCAAAAAGTGGTGCTGTTTGCGCCAACAGTTCCAGACCACCTGGGGGGGTGCCGGGGGAATTTCAGTCTTATTTTGGACTTGTTATTTTCTCATTGTACCTCTAAACATAGCAGTTACACAGCATTCAAAACCTAGGGAGAGCAAAAAAAAATAAAACATCAAGGTAAAGTAACAGCATTGGAGATGGGATGTGAGGGAAGTTTATCCAAAGTGCACCTACCCTGGGGGGCGGAGCCCTGGCCACTGCCGCCCATCGGACATAAAGAAACACTAAATTTAGCCACAGCCTGAAGGTAATCTAACGAGACCCACACCTGGTTTATCCATGATGCAGGGTGCGATTCTCCATATAAGACTCTGCATTTCTCCTCAGAAGTGCTCCTCGTGGTGCTGGGATTGTCCTGAAGGGGGGGGGGGGGGGGGGCACTGATGTATTAGGTAGCTGGTACTACCACGCGGTCCTACATCAACAAAATCTCCAATTGTTTTCAAAAAATTCATCTAAATTTCAACCTAAAACTGTCAGACTCCTAGATGACTTCACTAAATCTTTTAATTTTATGCATGTCCTCTTAGAACTGGACCCTATTCCCCCTTGGTCCTATATGACTGCCTTTACCAGCACCAGGTCACATCTAAGGGACTGTCACTGGGGGACAGAGGGTGGCAGGGAGTCGAATAAACACATGTACTATTGAGTATTGCCTCTGCGGTTTTGCGAAACATTCCGAATAGAGCTCAAGAGCTGTTTGACGTTTGGAGGAATTAACACAGTGTATTGGTGTCACTGATTACAAAGAGAAATAAACATGTATGAGATAGAACAGGGTAAATTTACAGGCCATGCAAGTTTTGCTAGTTCTTTCTCACACCATTTGAAAACACTTATGCCTAAAACCGTGAGTTGATTCCTAAAAACCTGGCTAGTGGCCATGGCATGAAACGCTACTATTATCATCTAGCATCAAAAGCTGCAAGTATTTGAAGCAAGCAATTTGACCAACGATGATTCGGTAAAACAAACGTGAAATCGACGTCTAAAGACACAATTATACGTTTGCCATTTAATAAGGCATTCTGCTAATACCACAAACCTACAGACAACTGGAAGGAATCAAATTTTTATGACAATGGTTGCACGTGAATGGAGATAATGAATAAACAAAGGATTAGTGTCATTACGCAGAGCGTGAGGTAATATGCCGGTAAGTAAATTCCAGCATATGGCTGCCATGCTACAGATCAATGAAAAAGTAATTAAGCCGTTACTGTTTACCTCCAGTAAACATCAACGCGGTACACACAGTCTAAACGAACTTTATGCGACGCCACTTATATGCCAAAACCAACAGAAAGATTGCAAGTATACGATATCTAAATGTAGCTGCTTGCAGTGCTTTTTTAGAATTATTTGCGTGTTCAAAAATAGCTATCACAGTCTTTCAGTCCGTATGGCATATATTTAGTACTGTGTGACTAAAAAACTGATCTATCGCATTAGTGCGGTGCATAGGTACAGAAGCACGTAAATGTCAGATTCACTGTCCATACAGGCCAGGTGGATAAAGGGGATTTCTCACACCTTGGCAATGGTATTAATTTCTATTAAACGTCGATGTGTCGCTAGTAAGCGTTTAATAACCACATTACAGCACCGGGGTCCAGTCTCCCCAGCTCAGTGGCGCACCGGCCGCCCATCGCACCCGGCGTTTCACGCGATACCGCCCCGATCACACTTCCGTCAAACTGTCGGCTTCTTACTCTCACCTCCATGTCAGATGCTAAAAATACCACAGCCGCACGATCGGGAGCCCGGACGGCCATGCAGGGCGAGCCCCAGATACGTCTTTATTACGGAAAACCGGGACATGCACTTGCAGAGACTCCCTAATGATTCGGCAGCAGCGCATCATCTGCGATGGAGAGATGACAATGTCTGAGCCAGACGTCATTTCTCACACTACCCGATGATCAGCATCCTGTGCACGCTACCATAACGACGCAAAATAAATCAACTTTACCAAGTAATCGGCCACCCGGTACAGTGCGTGTGCACTACGACACCAACAAATCCGTCCCCCGAAAGAGGTGAAAACTAAAGACATTACGCACCCCTCCCTCACCAATGCACCCACTAACGTGTGTCGTGCATTTTCCCCCATTCAGAAAAATAAAGCAGCCACAGATTAAAATTTTGGCACTCGCTCGATTTTATTGTAATGAAAAAAGTGTTGTTTTTACGACGGTAAATTACGCGTCCTTTAACATATACCTGCAAAGGGAAACTGGTCGTTCATCTTCTTTGATAAGGACACCAAAAACACAACGATTTTCCCCCAAGATCACTTCTCCGCCACCGACTTGCAACAACTAATTCGAAAAAAATTATAACATCCAAAAATATTCGATACTCAAATCTGCAAAAGTATAGTCAATAGAAAAATGAAAGGCAAAAGAAAAAACAAAAAGAAACAACTTTTGGTGCGAATAACCCTGAAGAAAAGTTTCATGTTAAAATATCACCAGGTTTGAAAAGGATTCTCTTAAAGAAAACAAGTAAAATTAAAAGCAGGGACTCGCAAAATCACAAAACTCTGAGAAACAACACTGTAAAATACAAAGCAAAGCACAGCCACAGCAAAAGTCAGAACGACAGAAAACGTAAAAGAAAAATATGTAAAAACCCCACAAGTAGACATGCTTTAAAAATATCAAACTGCCACCCGCTTGCATAAAAACCAGTTGCATTATTCTTTACAAGGCTGCAAACGCGCATTTTTTTCCAGCGACGGACGCTACCCCGATATCAGCACCCGCGATTCAGCATCACTGCAAGCTAAAAACTTGGAGCCTGGATTAAAAAACGCTAAAAACAACCACTTCAATGTCTCATTTCTCAACACCAGGAAAAGGGGGAGGAAAAACATAAAAAATATAATTAAAAAGACAAAAATGTGTGTACAAAAACGCCATCGGAAAGGTACTCACCGAGCGGGAGTAAAATGTTGCGATAAAAATGATATGGTATAAAATAGAGTATGGCGGTGGCGGCTGGAGCGGAGCGCTTTTCTGTCAGCCTCAGCCTCCGGACGGGTCATGTGACTCGCAGCGATGCGCACAGGGGAAGCCCAGCGAGGCCGCGCAGCTCCAGCCGGCGGCTGCCGCTCCGCACCATTCCGCAGATCTCACTCACGGGGCTCTCTGTTTGTCTCCACCATTTTCCTTTTTTTTCAATGCAGCGCCCTCCCTTTTCTGAATCTACGTAATGACCACCCCACCCACCACCAAAAATAAAATAATAATGTTATTATTAAGAATAAAAAAAGACAAAAAAAAAAAAAACACGGAGGTCTCTTTAAATGCCCGTTTCCGCCGCTGGTTGTTTCGACATGTAGAAAAGAGCCGGAGAGCTGTGAAGGTACTGTAAAAGATAAGAACAGACTGAGAGGTATTATTACACGCGTGACAGCAATGAGCCTGGCTGCAATGGTGTGGAACCGTGTGCCGTATGCTCATCATCATTATTATTATTATTATTATTATTATTATTATTATTATTATTATTATTAGTTCTCTTGCCGGCTTTATATACAGAGCCAGTTCATACCCAAATATTTGTGTTTCGCATAGACGACTCTGACAGCCTAAGTTTCAAGGTTCAACAGCAAAACCCCTTTCGTGTCGTACGGGAAACTTGCGGACTCCTTGCAACAGTCGTCTTTACCTTTAACGCGATGCTCCCATTTATTATTATTATTGCTGTTGTTGTTGTATTATGGCCTCGTGTTATCATGATACTAAAAGAACAGCATTGTACCTCTCTATGTCATCGTTTTATCTCGCGGCGCGCACAGTCGCGCTTTCCCTGCAGCTCCTTGGGCTGAGGTAGCTGCCCCAGGAAAATGCCGGTGTTTAAAACCGCAAACTCAAGTCCGGGCTGCCATGTCCTGGCTGCTTCCGTGTCGGTTTTTCATTACTGGGGCGAATGTGAGGAAACGCCATGTGGAAGTTCTGTAAGTGTGTGTATGTACGTTAATGCTTGTGTGCGTGTGCATGTGTGTATATGTTAATGTGTGTGCGTGTCTATGCACGTTAATGAGTATGTGTAGGTTAATGCGTGTGTGTGTTTGTGTTCTACTGGCCATAAAAGAGGACCCCACCCCAAAATGAATCATTCATTCTCTGCCGTGGGTGTGATGTCACCATGGGCTGAGGCTTACATGTATGTCTGACCCCTGTTGTTCCAGGGCAACTGTTCTGGGGATAATTTGGGGCTGCGGTCAGTGGAAGGGAGGGGGCAGGATTAATTACCCCTCATCCCGTTCAAGAAGTGTTCCTGATATAATATGGCATTTCTATTGATGTACAGTAAAGAAAAACATGTTCACTCTGTCATGGTCACCGAGGATTTAGGGGGGAGAAAAATGTGGGACCTTGTAGACGGTTAATGAAGCTGTATCTCACACCCATCACTGATCGCTGCTCCTGCTCCATCTCTGTCCCCTGATTAGCTTCGCAAGCGCCTACAGGTCGGTCCCTTTGCTCCCGGTCACTCATGTAGCAAGACCGAGCTGCTTGTTCCCTTGTGCTGCCACAGGGGGCAGCATCACCCATCTTTGAATTCGCACCCCTCCGCCCCAGAGACCTGGCCCTTCCTTAAAGCTGACAGGGTTGCAAAGAGTGGAAGAATTGCACCAGAGTCCGAGCCCCTGCTCTGATTTTATTTACATTTTATTTTTTAATGACATCAGCAGTTTGGGGCCCTCTAACTGGAAATCCATACTCGCTGTGAACTGAACGAGTGAACTCCCACTCCTGGTCGATGCTAATCTCACAGCAAAGTGGTGCCACTCAGAGACTTCTGATTGCATTAATTAGTGGCTGCCGAGAGCAGCACCTTAAGAATTCTGGCATGGAAATGTGGCCTTTATTAATGAGCTGTGACTCTCTTGGAATGATGCTACAGCTTTATCCAGTGAAGCTTTGGTGCCCCTCCAGGGACCCCCACATTAACCCGAAAGAGGTCTTCCCGATCTCCTTCCACCGGTCAAGGATAGACAAACGTGAAGAACATCTTAAAATCATGCAGATGCATTAAAAAACTGCCAGGACGTTTTAATTCCGCTCCGTTTACCAGATTGTTTTTTTATTCCGCTCTGAAATATTAAAAGGTAAATGTCCATGCATTATTTACCGTCCATCCTGTCAACACCCGTATCTGCGGAAGGAGCGGGTCGTGCATCTCGTAGGGGGCGTGCAGGTCTACAGAACACGCCGCTCTGCTCTCTCCATTAGGGGGAGCACTGGGGTCTGACCTATTATTCAATGATTATGACCAGTGGAACTGGAAATGCCACAGTGTACTGTGCATGTTCACGCTCGTGCCTCTGCGTTTACAGTCTTCCCGATTCCTGGAAAATGCTGCAGGAGATGGTGACTGCTCTCCAGCCTTGCCCAGATGGGAGAGTCAGGGGGGTGGCTGGTTTTTGAGCTTTTCTGGGCCCTGGCGGGGCTGCTGGAAACAGGGGCACTGCACTGTAAGTACACGCTCATTTGAGTGGCAAGCGACTCGCTGCTTGCCTCTGTTTACCGAGATTAAATGTCACATGCTGCTCGACGCCGGCGCTCCGCGGGAAACGTCGTTTTGCTGGACGGCTTCTCGCTGAAGCTCGTTCGGTGGCATCTTGGGCCTCCTCGCCTTTGTAACAGGAATGCTAATGTTTAGCGTGAGAGGCTAGAGGCATCTGCCATCGCCTTAAAGGTCAGGTGCTGTTTTTCTTCCCGTAAACAGCGGGGAGACGCCAGCCCGCCGAGATCGACGAGCGCGATGGCTGCCTTGTCCCCCACCCCCACGTCCTGTGCTTGGCAGATGCCGCGAGCCGGAAGGTTCCACAAAGCCACTCGGTGAGATAAAGACCCCTGGCTTTTATCTACAAGCGCCCTATCTGATTCCCAGCCGAAATGGGCGGCCCCATTCAGTGTCGGTTTCTTACTTTTCGAAAATATTATTTTATTTTTTTACACTAGGCACACATATCTAATGGGGGGGGGGGGTCACCACCGCTAACATTTAAAGCCAAGTCCAGCCTTTGGAAAAGGTTAATTCCACCGCCAGGATGATGTGTGTTCTGGGGAAGAGGGTGCCTTCCTTACGGAAATGGTCCTGATACTTTCATTTGTGCTCTTCAGGGTGCAAGCTGTGACCCTTTCACAGCACTAGGCCTGGTTTTATTGGTTTTTGTGGTGGTGGGTCTTATGGCCATCAAAATGAGATCCGGTGACTCCAGTTCTGACCTGGGACTGTCATGTTCCACTCGCCCTCGCTCTGAGCAGGGCCTACCAGAGCCAGAGACTCACACAGCACTGATGCACACACAGTGCTTTTAATTGCCTCCTGTGTCACAATGGGCGATTTCCATTTACAAAATTGGCTTTTTTTTTCCATATAACAGTGGGAAAAAATGTAGAATTGTTGTGCAAGTGGTGTTTCACTCCATTTAGGAAACAATGGACTAAAAGGTGCTAAACTGTGACAGTCAGTGAACTGCATGTGAATGGTCACTTACCTGCCCAGCCCCCACCCATAATCCGATCATGTGACCACCAGCCGACATACAATAAAAAAATATATATATATTTATTTAGTAATTCCTTTTCAATGTATAAAATGCAATTTTTCTTTAAGTCTCTGGTACTGTATATATTTCTCAGGTGATGTCAGTTACAGACTCATTGTCTTTGGTTGACAATTGACTGTTAAGTACTGCCCACTCTCTCGGTCATCATACTGTCTGCCCACCGCCACTCCCTGCCAAGCCTTCACTACCCCACCTCAGGAGCAGCAGACCACCATTCACAATCTGGCCGATAGCCAGCCTTCCATTGTCCTGCCTTCTCTCTGGGCTTGGGATGTTCTGATGTTGTGAGATCCCCCCCCCCCCCCCCATCATGATGGGCTGTGATCTCTTTGCCTTTGGGCATTTCTGAACCCTTCTGCCTCTGACTCATCTACACGGAACACAAATGTCAAGCAGCACCTGGAATGAGTCACACGCCCTGAAAAGGGCTTAGTGGCATGTTCCCAGAGACAGAACACGGATCGCCGCGTTAACAGTCAATTGTCAACCAATGAGTCTGTAACTGACATCACTTGAGAAATACATACGGTACCAGAGACTTAAAGAAAAAAATAGCATTTTATAAATTGAAACAAAAATGACTATATAAATGTATATTTTTTTATTGTATGTGTGCTGGTGGTCACATGATTGGATTAGGGACGGGGCTCTGCAGGTAAGTGACCGATCACGTGCAGTTCACTGACTGTCATATGCATCACAGTTTAGCACCTTATATATTTGCATTTACCTGATGCCCCTTGAGTAGAGGGAAAAGGTTATAATTTATGTTAGCTGCCTAGGGATTTGAACCCATGATTTTTGCATTGTTAACACAATGGTGTGCTTGTTGGGCTACAGCTATGAGCAAGGAGGACAGTAAAGGAAGGGAGACCTTTCAGCATCAGGACAATGGGAATCAGATGAGATGTCAGATGGCGCGAGAGCATCAGCAGAGACCAGGGTCAGGGTCACGGCCTGTGCATTTAAGAGAGAGAAACTGGGACCTCACGCAGTCACTTGCGATACATTCTGACAAGAGACAGCCAGCCCCCACCTCACAATCAGGGAACGAGATGTTTACGGTTCTCCTTTGGAGAGCTTATTCATATTTCATCAGGCAGAGATACAGCAGTATTGCTGGTTACAGTGCAGAAGCATGTTTATCTTTTCACTGCGGAGCCATAAAACAAATGTTAGCACTGGCCAGCACTGGCATGAGACTGAGGGCACCCTGGCTGTCACTGTCTAATCGCCGTCAGCCGAACGGAT